ACAGGGTAGAAGCGTGTTTTGCATCCAATTCATCCAACCATCGGCAGACAAGCAGATGAAAAACCTCGAACACACCGAGTCCCGTGCAGAAGTAGAAGAAATGTCACCCATGTAAAGGTAGATCACTCTGACCAGGCATCACTGTTACTGCAAAAAGACTCACGGTGTTTGAATAAACCTCAGCAAAGCTCCCTCTGAATCCCAGCTTATCTTTACTTTTCTCGAGACTTGCCAGAGGTTTATACTGTACCCCCGTTACATTTTTACCTCACTGTGCTGCTTTTCCTCTCAGTTATGCAGGTTGTTTACAGGTTTGTACCATTGGTTTGTTACCATTTGTGATGTAGTTGCTCTGAGTGGACATTTTAAACTACTCTTGCTAGGTGGCTGAAGAACCCGCTAAAAGCATTCATCACCAAATTGGTCATGGAGGCACATCGAAGAAGAACATATGGTCCCTGCGACTGATCAAGTTTACACCAAACTAAGGGAGCAGAATGGAAAAGTCCTGATTTTAGCCTGCAGTGAAGAAGCTGCCATTGAATTAACCAAGTAGGAGATAACAGGATCTGCAGACACTTCAACACTCACCAGATCAGCAATGACCAGGGTCTCCATGAACTCCATGAACATAGGGTAATGTTCCATGGCTGTGAAGATGGTGCTAACAATGATGCAGATGATGATGACCAGGTCAAAGAAAGGGTTCGTGATAAAAGTGTGAAACTGCTGTTTGAGCCATCGCCAGCAGCCACAACAGTCCCCCTTCAGCAAGGCGTCAGCGCAGGTGCAGCACAAAGGCCGGTGGTGCTCCTCTGCCTCTGCAACACAAAGCTACTCTGTGAGGCCACAAACTGTGTCAGCATTAAGTTGTCTGCAGAGCCTCGGCTCTTCGTGTTTGTGTACCTGTGACTGCTCTCATTAACAGAGCGTGTTGTAATGTCATGTCCCAATGAAAGAAGGTGGAGGTTAAAGAGGTGGAGGTAAATATCTGTTTACCTTCAACGTATTCTTGCTTAGTAGCTCGTATACCGGCAGCTGATTTCTTCTTCTGCAGTGAGTCCTGTTGCTCTGGAGTCTCTACCGTGCTGGAAGCCTGCTGTCCATAACAAAACACCCAAACTCAGTTATGCTAAATGACGATTTCAGCAGAGCCATCCCACAGTACTCTGAACAGTTTCCAAACAGGGTTATTTTGTCTCAGAAAGGTCATGGCTGACACAATAAGTTGAGAAGAAACTGGTGAAAGGTTTTTGGAACAGCTGGATTTTAAATGCACACTGGCATCAGCTGCCGACAGGTCTGCAGGATCAGTCACATGCTAGACACAGAAGGAAGGATATTTTGATGAAGAATAGGACGTGTTTGATACATGAACAGAACTAAAGCCTGATAATAGACCTACTCGTGTTATTCCAGTATATTTTGTACAGGTGTGGAATGTTTTAGCAACACCTGGGCCTAGTGTGCCAGTGCTCTACGAAAGCTGTCAGAGCTCAGCTGTTGGTGTGGCTCTCCTCCAAGAGACACACACCTTATGGTTATTTTATATTGTTTCTATTGTATTGTTTACATTGTTGTGATTTACATGGCTGTGCTTGAGAGTCGTCATCTACCGGAACCAAATTCCTTGTATGTGTCTGCGCATATACACAGCCAATAAAGGAGATTCTGATCTCCCTTTTGTCGTGGCCATGGAGCCCATCAACCTGCTCAATGAGGCCTGTAGAGTCTGAGATGGGGCTGTTGGACCTCAGCCACAGTACCTGGGGTTTCTCTGAGCATCCTTTCTTGCTGTGAATTTGCTGCAATGCCCAGTGTGGTATCATAATGAATCATTTGTTTATATATGCATAACAGTTATTATT